TGGCCGCCGGCTCAATCTGGATATGGCCGCCCAGCGCCTCGCAGGTGGGCAAGAACAGGAGGACCACGAGCGTCCGTGGGGGCAGCAGCCTGCTGCGGGGGCTGATGCCCGCAACGGCGCGTCCATGAAAAGAATACAAGCGCTGCTGAAAAATGGCGCCTGCAACTGTTCCAAGAATTGCGCTGCCTTGTTCAGTGTGCCTGTCATCTTCCAGATTTGCACGGAATTTTGGTCGCTCCCATCAAAAGAGACACAGGACTACCTGTTATTGACAATGATCAACAATATTGCAGGGACTACAGATGCGCCTGCTGAGGGGCTGATGATGAACTGGCAGCACCGCGGCGCTAAGCGCAGCCATCGCGACGTCGACGATGACCCTTGGGACGCAGAGATGGGGCTGCCAGACGCCGTGGAGGCCGCAGTGAGAAGGCGCACGCAGTGGGCGCTGGGAGACCAGGACGTATGTTTTGAAGCGTTCCACCGGCTTTTGGGAATTGGGAAACACAGGCTGTTGAAGGCAATTGCAGGGACGCTCGACATGAGGAGGACGCTGCCTGGCATGCAGCAGAAACCAGGTCTTCGGGAGTCACTGCAGACTAAGTTGTGCGACCGTTTCTTCGCGGAGCTATATATGTCATCGGCGGAGCCAACGCCGACTGAATTTAGGGATTGCGGCAAGGAGGATCATTTTGAGGCTAATAATGAGAGCGGGTCTAATGGCGGGCCCCTGGACATTGCATTCTGCGAGCGCGACATGGCCTCCATGTTGCCGCATTTCATGCAGAACCCGTTGCTAGTCCAGGACAATACCAGCGGCCCCCACCTGCCTGTGCGGATGCTGCAATACAGCCGCTTGCACGATCTGTATTGGTTGTTCCTCGCGACAGTGGCGCTATGGCTGGACCCGCTGGCCCGCCGGCCTTCTTGGATGACTTTTTGGAGATCTTGGCATCGCAAGTGGAGGGGGTTCTTGCGGTTTCGGGGAACTGAAGAACACTCAAAGTGCACGTTTTGTTGGAAATGTCGTAAGGTGTTGGCCACTCACATTTCCTTGCAGGACAAATATGTCATTGCCAAGCGCTTGAGGGAGCATTTAGAAAAACAATATTCCGACAGATGCATATATTGGGGGCTAAGGCATGAGAGCCGATTGAAGGGTAATGTTTTGGTTATCATCATTGACAGCATGAATAAATCAAAACTACCGATTCCCCGGTGGAAATTCGGTGAGAAGCCGAAGGTTTTGGAAGGCTTCGTGCGGCCCGTGATGACTCTCACAGCTTCCATCGCGCTTGGATGGGGGGCTAGATTCTAGGGGTGGGTTTCGCCCTCAACCGCCGCCCCATGCGCTGCCAGGGGGGCGCGCCCCTGGCGCTCAGAGCGGGGAGCTACCACTGCCGTCAGGTACATACTACATGACCCTCCCCTTTTTGTGTGTATGGCGCCTATCTATTCGTACATCTCCATGCTTCACCTCCGTCGCTGCGAGCCACGTCAAGGCGCCATGGGCCCCCGCCTGCGAGGGGGCTGGCGGATTTGGCGGACGAAACTGAAAGTCATGGGCAAGACGCCTTCCTGGAAATCCTCGTTCGTACTTTGGATTCGGTGCATTTGCGCGCCGCCCGCGAGGGGCTAAACATGCCAGAGCACATAGTTATCCAATCGGACAACCCGACAAACCAGGCGAAGAACAGCCTGACGGGGATGTTCCTGGCGCTACTCGTACAGAGTAAAAGATTCCTAACTTGCACATTGAATTTCCTTACTGTTGGGCACACCCACGAAGATGTAGATCAGATATTCGGTATCATTTGTGAAAGGCTTCGGCGCGCTGGGCATTGGGATGCGCCCCGTGCTCTGGCGCTAATCATGCACGAGGGCATGGCGGAACATTTCCGGGCCTGCGGCATGGACATCAGCGTGGAGGAGTTTGGGGCTACAAGGGATTTCAATTCTTGGGTTTCCCAGTGCAGGTGCGAGCTGTACAGCGCTTTTGCCCAGCGGTCCAACAAGCAGGACAGCCTGACGCCTTTGCATAGTTTTACTTATAAGAGGAGGGAACATCTGTTCCCAGAGGAAAAGGCAATGATTTCATCATCTGGTCCGAGCAGATCACCTGAAGCGGCAGGTGCTGGCGATGTGTTCTGCCTCACGAAAGTTTACATGCATGAGACGAGGTTGCACCAACCACCTCTCTTGGTGCTCCCTGGGGCTAGGGCTGAGCTCGTCGTCCCCCGGGCTGGGCCGTCGGGCCTGAAAGAGACGCGCGAGTGCCCGCATGACAACAGGCGCAAAGATCTGAGAGATATGGCAGATGAGTTGCGGAACCCAGCCAACCGCCTGTTGCAATATTATTTACCTGCTACGGCGGACTATTACGATGCCCTCGTGCAGGGCACCCTGCGCCGCATGCCAGCGCGCTCTGTTTTCCTGGCGTCGACTCGGTGTGTCGGCCAGAATGCGCAGCCGACTGGTAATGAACAGTTCCCTCATTTGCCGCATTCAGCGTGGCGTGTAATGGTTCGTTTCAAAGAGGACAGAAGCCACCGCGGCTCGTAGGCAGCAGCAGCGCTGATACACGTCCAACAAAGAAAACATTATAAAAAAGAAAACATTATAATAGTCTGAGGGTGTCGTGGGTAAATACATGGAGACAAATTGCGCAGCTGAGGAGTCGAGTTGATCTGTGGGACACTCTACGAAGCCACGCTAGGCCACGCTGGCATGCACTAAGGGCATCGAAGTGAAGCCAGGTTATAATACGTTTGTATGTTATTAGCCAGCATGCATGGGCCCTAAACAGTGATTTCTTGATATGTACGTGGTGTAATATATGTAGTGCGATATATGTAGTGTAGATGCGGTATATGTAGTGTCATAATCCATGTGGTGTAAGCTATGTGGTGAAATAGATGCGGCGTGCAATATGGTGCGATGTGCGTCGTGAATCTGCGTGGTGGGCCTCCAGAGTCAGGTCGTCAGCCTGCACAGCATCACCTCGAGATTCTATTGTATTTTTCGGTGCGATGGCGGCTGGCCCTCTCTGCCCGATCGGGCTTTCAGGCATCGCCGCCGCACCTCATGCTCAGATTTACGGAAATGGAGTTGTATTCGCCGCATCGTCAACTTCTGCGTGCGCCAGGCTGGTCTCTAATACAGATAGTACTATACCGACCAGGCTGGCGCGCCTCGCACAATCCTCCTCTCGCCGCTACCACTCCCTGTTTTGCCATCTCTTGTCTTGGGCTTCTGGCCTGTCCCCCGGCCTTCCTGGCCTCGCGGCCTCGGCCCCTGGGATCGGGCCCCCCTCGAGCTCTTCTGAGGCGCAGCACCAGCGGCGGTGCCATCTGAGAGTTCTGAGCGGCTCCGATGGGCACTCCACTTCTCCCAAGCCCCCAGCCATGAGAACCAGGAGCTATGGGTACTCCACTTCTCCCAATCCCCCAGCCATGAGAACCAGGAGCTATGGGGTCACCTCCAGCCCTCCTCCTCGTCGTCGTCGTCGTCGTCCTCCTCCTCCTCCTCCTCCTCCTGCTGCTGGCGCACATCCATTCTCCTTCTGCTGCTGGCGCTCATCCATCCACCTCCCCCTTTTTTCTCCTCCACCTCATCATGTCTTCCCCTCCTCCTCCCCCCCCCCCTTCGCCGCATTCTAAAACATGCATGGGTCGCAGCAAGCGACGACTACTACTCCCAGTTGCATCACTCGCGGCTCACTCCCCCTTCCTGGCCGCCGCGACATCATGACGTCCATGGATGGGGCCCCGCGTGGTGGGCTGCTGCGACATCATGACGTCATGACATCGTCTAAGACATGATGCATGGTCACAGCGACTTTCCGTCTTTTTTTTTTCTTCCCCCCCCCGGGGGGGGGGGGGCAAGGCACTGAAAGGTCGGACCTTGCAGTGCTTGCTTGGGTCGAGTATAAGGAAATCGCTTTTCTTTGAGTTCCCCCCCCCCCCCCCCCCCCCACCCGGGGGGGGGGGAGAAAACCTTCGAAGAATCGCGAATCCTATAATCCTCCGATACGCATCGAACCCTAGCAAGCAACTGCAGGTCCCGACCTTTCAGGCCATTTGCCCCCCCCCCCCCCCCGCCCCCCCCCCATTCCCCCACCCCCCCACCCACCCCCATACCCCCCACCCCTCCCCACATCCCACCAGAACCACCCCCCCCCCTCCGGGGGGGGGAAGAACTGAATGATGCTGTGGCTTTCGTCTTGGTCCCATTATGGTTGCCCCATCATTATTACCCCATCATATCAGTGCATTTAGCCCCAGCGTCTTTGCCTCCCCACCCATCGATAGAGATCACCGCGGGCGGATTCCAACTGGGCCAGCCGACCACTGAAAGGTCCGACCTTTCAGTGCTTGCTCTGGACTGGACTTCCGGTTCTTGCCCGTTTGGGGGGAACTTCCGGTTCTTGCTCTCGGGGGAACTTCCGGTTCTTGCCCGTTTGGGGGGAACTTCCGGTTCTTGGTCTCTGGGGAACTTCCGGTTCTTGGTCTCAAGGGAACTTCCGGTTCTTGGTTTCAAGGGAACTTCTGGTTCAGCCCGCCCTTCCTCCCCCCCCCCTTCCTCTTATCCCGCGCGCACGTCCCCCCCCCCCCTTTTTCTCCCGGCCTGCGGACATTCAGGCCCAAGCGGTTGTTTCATTCAGGTCCGAGCTGTTTGCGCCAGGCAAGGCCCCCTTCTCCCACTGCAGTATGGCGCTAACCGCTCTGCCAGATTTGCGCGTTTTTGGGGCCACGGTCTTCGACGTCCTTGCACTGGCCCTTCCGCGGGATCTGGACGTGGTGGAGCTGTGGGCGGGAAAGAAAGTAGCTACCTTTGCCGCCAGGAAAGAGGGGCTAAATTGCCATACAATTGAAAGAGAGGACGGGCCTGGCCAGGACCTGACAACAGAGGAGGGGTTCTGGGCAGCAGCAAGGGCCATCATGGGGCTCCGAATTGGCGGCCTCTTGATCATGGCGCCAGTGTGCCCCTCATTTGTATTCGCAAATTCGACCATGACGCGTCGCACAAATGTGGCCCTTGAGGGTGACGGCACTCGTGGGCCAGTGCGGGATGGGAACTTTATGGCACTCGTTGCGGCGTTTTTTTTGTTTTTTTATTGTGGCATTTCATCACGAAGCGTATGTATTTTGGGAGAACCCTCTGAACTCTTTCATCTGGAAGCAGCCGTGCGTTATTTCGGCTTGGGACTATGTATTAAGCTGTCGCTGTTACGCGAAGACCTGGCGACAGGAGGGGGGCGGGCGGGGGGGGCCGCCGGCGGGCTGGGCGCGCGTCTTCGCGCGGCTTGGCCGAAGAAGCCCAGTTACATGCGCTGCATACAGGGGGGGGCCTCTACTGCAGGCCGGCGGACTTGTCTGCGCGCGGTGCGGCGCATACTGGCACGTTCCACTATTGCCGATTCTCCAGTAAACCCAAAGGGCGACGATTTTTCAAACCTTTCCGCATATATGCCACTGGGCCTCAAGGGCAAGCCTCCTGGACCAATTCTTTAGAGTTGAAGTGCAACTGCGGGGCTAAAAACTGTGGGGCTAATGGGGCTAAAAAAAGGGAAGCCCCCTGTACATGTTCTGCTCATGAAGAAGGAGGCGGATGGCCGCTGGAGCGGGACGCCGGAACTACGGGGGTCTCAGACTTACACGCCCCGGCTTGGCCGTGCAATCGCGTCTGCGTGGAAGGAGGCGGCAGCTGCTGCGCTGCCGCAGCAGCAGCGGCTGCAGATGGGGTCCGAGCAACTGGCGGCGGCCAGCCTGCAGCAGCAAAGCCCGGGGCGAAGGAGGCGGCCGCCCATCATGGCGATTAGTAACTGGCAAAACAGGAGTAGCCACGCGCAGGCAACAACAGTGGCTGGCGACCAGCGGGCAGGCGCAGCGCCTGCACCACAGGGGGGGCGGCAGCGGACGACGAGGGCGGCAGCATTGGGGGGGGGGCAGGATGCGGGGCGGCAGAAACGTCGACGAGGAGCGGCAGCTGCCAACCTGAGCTGGCAGCTTCGCGGGGACCCCCTTTGCCGCGGGCCCCGCCAGCGAAGGCAGCGGCGGCGAGCGGCAGGGGGCTGCCCAACTGGCAAACCCGTCCTTGACCAGTGCGAGGAGAAAAAAGTTGCGTTGAGAAAGGGAGATGCGCCGGAGGTTTTATATGATCGGGCACAGGTAATGTCGTTTGGGTCACTCACTGCGCTGGTTGGTCTAGATGTACTGCCCCCAAACAGTGTTTACATGCGCTGATTCGTCAGATTCGTGGATATGGCCCCCCCTCTCCTTCCTGGGTGTAAATATATATATATATATATGTATTTATATATGTGTGTATATATATATATATATATATGTATATATATACAGATATATGCATGTATGTAGATATATCTATATGCATATATGTTTGTATATACATATATATATATATATATATATATACATATATATGCATATATGTATATGTATATATGTATATGTATATGTATACGCATATATGTATATGTATATTATATATACATATAATGGGTGGTGGTTGTTGCGCCCTGAGGTGGCCGTGTTGCCTGGGCAATGATGATTCGATGTGTTGTCGTTGTTGCCCCATGGGTGGTGTGGTCGAGCCCCATGATGGTAGTTGTTGCTAATGGCGACGCATGCTTGGCTGCCATCTGTCCTCAAGCTGCAAGCAACGCGCAGCAGCAGGCTATCTGTGTGCAATCATAAACCCAACCCACCTCTCACCCCCCCTCCTGCCATCCGCGCGACGGGCGAGCGAGCCGTCGTCATGGTGCAAGTCTCCAAGGAGATGAAGAAGGGAAGGTGGTCCTAAAAAACGAGGAGGAAGATCTTGGACGACCGCGGTGTGCTCGCGGGGTGCGGCTGGGGGCGCGAGGTGGCGTTATTGTGTTCCGGAGTTGCTGGGGGTTTTGACTGTAGGATTTAGGGGATGGCAGTTTTTTTATTTTCTTAATGCCAAACCCGGTCGTCGATGCTTTGCACCGACGGATGACTAGTAACTTTCATCTCAAGACTCGCGGAGTGGTTTGAGAAAACGTACAGCACCGCGCCTCTGAAGGCGGCGTTGAATGAAAAGATTTTGAAGGTCGTCCCGATGCCTACAACGGCGCTAAGCACGCAGGTCCCTGACGGCAAGGCCGACGGTGTGATGCTCCACCTCACTCAGTTCCACATGGGCCCGCAGCTCACTGTGAAGGGATTGTCCAGGACACTGGGCGCGCGTGATATTATTTGGTCCCCACCATCCTTGAGGGGTTGGGTTTTCGCTCTGAAGAGACAGCCCCCCGCGTTTGTTTCTCCTCCTTCTCCTTCTCCTTCTCCCTCTCCTCCTCCTCCCCCCCCACCACCCTCCTCCTTCACCACCAACCCCGCCTCCTCCCATCATCGCCAGCGTCATCATCAACATCATCATCATCAACATCATCATCAATCACCATCATCATCGTCATCGTCACCATTTCGGTAGACCCTCGTACGTTTCGTGGCCCCATTTAGAACTCCTGTGCGCGTGGCCACTTGATGCGCCCCCCCCCACCACGCCCCTGTCGTCAGCATGCCCTGGCCCCATAGGGAGCTCCGCTGAAGGTCCCAGCGGGTGTGCCTGCATGCGCCCCCCCCACCTCCACCCACTCACCCACCCACCCACGCGCGCATGGTGCTCTGCGAGGGCAGGAGAGGATGGAGGGTGGGAGGAGGGCTGGCCCTGCAATGGGGCGGCGCCTCCCCTCTCGCGGAGCGCGATTGGATTGGCCACCGCCGCAACAGCCACGGGATTAACGACAGCAGCGGCAACAGCTGCAACAGCCAGCAGAGGACGCCTCCTCCTTCCTTCCGTCCAAGGGCACGTTTCGTGGCCTCATCATTGGGAGCCCCGCCAATGATCCAAGTGGTGGGTCAGCCCCTACACCAATTTCGACACACACACACACCACACACACACACACACACACACGCACACTCGCGCGCTTCCAAGCCGCATGCGCCCCCCCACACCGATTTCGGCACACCCCTCACGCGTTTCGTAGCCCCCCCCCCCCCCACACACCTATTTCGGAACACCTCGCGTTTCGTAGCCCCATAGGCAGCTCCTCCACCGAAGGCCCCCCCCCCCCACGCGCGTGGTGGGTGGGTGCCCACGCATGGTGCTATGCGAGGGCAGGAGAGGATGGGTGGTGGGAGGGCTGGCCCTGCAATGGGCGGCGCCCCCCCCCTCGCGGAGCTAGCGCGATTGGATTGGCCACCGCTGCAAAAGCCACGGGATCAACGATAGCGGCTGCAACAGCTGCAACAGCCAGCAGAGGAGTCCTCCTCCTTCCTTCTGTCCAAGGTTTCGTGGCCCTATATAGTAGATCTCCACGTCCCAGTGCGCGTGCATGTATGCATGCGCCCCCCACGCCCATTCCGACACACCCCTTACACGTTTCGTGGCCCCATAGGGAGCTCCACTGAATGTCTCAGTGGCTGCGCATGCCCGCATGATGCGCTCCCCCTCACCTATTTCGGAACACCTCGCACACGCACGTTTCGTGGCCCTGTGTATAGGGAGCCCCACTGAAGGCCCAAGTGGGCATGCCTGCAACAGGCGCCCCCCACGCCAATGTCGCCACACCCCTCGCACGCTTCGTGGGCCCATTGGGAGCTCCACCAAATATCCGAACCCGCATGCGCCCCCCCCCTTCAAATTTCTGCCCCCACCTCGCGCGTTTCTTGGCCCCATAGGGAGCCCCACCGGACGTCCCAGTGAACATGCCCACCACGTGCGTCCCCGGCACCGATTTCGGCACAGCCCTCACACGTTTCGTAGACCTGTAGGGAGCTCCACCGAAGGTCCCAGTCGGTATGCGTGCATCATGCGCCCCTGATACCCATGTCAGCACCACCCCCCTCACACGCGTCGTGGCCCTATCAGGTGCTCCACTGAAAGAAAGCCCCCATGGCGGTGCCCACATGCGTCTCCGACATTCTTTTTGGAACATCATTCACAGTTTTTTTTTTGTTTTTTGGGGGGGGGTGGGGGAGGGGGGGGTCCCATAAGGGGACTCCACCACTGAAGGCGATACCCACAACGGCGCCACTCACAACTGCATGTGGACGGTCGGGTCCTTCGCCAGGCTATTTTTGACAGCGGTGCGCATGGGGGGGCGAGATCGGCAGCACCGTTGGGGGCAGGGGAAACAAGTAGCAAGGCGGGTTAGCCTTGCATGTGTTACAGATTCCCACCAGGATGGCGGACATCATGGAGCGGATGACGCTCCTTTTCCCTGATGGCGCTAAAACCGCAGCAGAAAAAATCCACCTTTTCTTCGATGCCACGCAGCAGCCCTCCGTTGAACTCGGCCAGAACAGCGTCCGAACGAAGCTGGGATGGCTCGAGTTCTCGCATGTTTCATGGTTGCGGTGCCTGCGGCGGAGGGGTGGCTGACCCCAACGGAGGTGGAGTGCATTCGCCCGGTGTTGAGTACGTTCTCCGTGCTCCATGGCAACTGGGACAACCAACGTGACTCTGGAAGCCTCTTCGCAGCCATCGCTGCCAAGCATGGGCGGGGCTTGACGCAGCGGGTGGATCCGGACACGTTGCTCGAGATGTTCGCCCCCATCGTTGCCGAACGGAAGGCCAAGGAGCCAATGGTCTTGCTTACGGAGTCGGAGTGGCTGGACAGGGTCATCAATTCGTACAGCGACTCTCAGGTTGCAACTGGCTTGAAGATCTCGCCTCAAGAACGCGCTGCAGCGCACGCCCTGACCTGCGCCGGACCAGAGGCCCGTTCAATTGTCCGGTCTTGCTGGAACAGCTTCAAGTTGGCCGAGTCCCCGATCACGCTCGACATGTTGACCAATGGCAGTAATGGTCCAGTTGAATTAGGCATCCTGATTCAAGAGTTACCGCACGGTGTGGATGACGCAGAGTGGAAGTCGGCGCTAAGTCTCAGCGTGCAAGGGTACTCGCTGTGGCTCCAGAGATCACGTGAGAATTACTTGGCCAAGTACAACATCCTCCGCAACACCCGCAAGAAGGGCCAGGTGAACCTCCGCCAGAGCTGCAAGGATATGCGCGAGACTCAGCCCAAGCTGTCCGTCGCGCTCTGCCAGTGGTGGGCTCACAATGAAGCTGGGCTCAGGTGATGGGCGAGGAATTATGAAAGCCCATGCTTTGCGTCCTAGTTTAAAAATGACATGGACATTGAGGTTGTTGATCTCGAGATGGGGGGTCGATCTCTGTAGGGGCCCAGCACCGCCAGGGGCAGCGCCGCCAAAATAAAGCACCATTGCAAAACATTAGTGCTTGGGGAAGAAGGAGCTCCCCCCTGGGCCCTTAACAGGACACCCACCATGGGGTGCCAATGGGATTCGATTGGAAACCAACTTCACCGCGTACTGGGGGGGGGAGGGGGGCTGGTAGTATAGTAGTAGGGGGCGAGTAGTAGTAAGTGAGGGTGCTGCCCATGATTGGGCGCCATTGTAATAACATACCATGCCGGGGTATCTGGGGTATCCTGGTTTTTTTTTTTTTTGGGGGGGGGTTGCCTCCCTCCCCACAGGTGATGTCTGTCGCTCCCCCTCCCCCAGGGTGACGTTGCGCTGCCTAACCCCATAGCCCCGCCAATCGATTGGCTGCCCACGTTGGCCCTGAGCCCCCTCGAATCAGACCACACAAACAGGAGTGCGGGACAGGCCCTTGTTGCAACGTCAGGCCTGACGCTGCGACAACGCGGTTCTCCTTCGCATGGGGCGCTGGTTTTGCGGTACATGGGGTGGTAAGTAAGACAGGGTGGCGGGGATTTGCGGTCGGTGCTGTGTGATGACGGCTATGCATAAGGTCCCTCCCAATGGGGTGAGGGTGGGGGGGGGAGTGGGTATCTTCTTTGTGGTGGATATGTCAAGGTCGTTCCTGGGGGCGTCGTACGAGCAGACGAAGCAGCGTTTTCTCCGTGGGGCTATAGACCAGTACATTGAGGAGCACGTGCGCAATTGCTCGCCGGGCGACTGCGCCGCTTTCTCGAAGATTGCCGTCCTCGCTGGCCTGGCCACTGGAACAGGCGCCCGCGGAAGGGAGCTGCGGCGCGAGCACTCGGATGCCGCCTCGGACAACAACGACGCTGCCGCCAACGACCCTCTTGCGAAGGAGGAGGCAGTGCTGAAGTACAAGAAGTTCATGGCCCAGTTCAGCAGGGAGGAATATACATTCACGACATGGGTGAATTCTGTCAAGGGTTTCGAGAGCAGCGCTGCCAACGCGCAGTTCAAATGGAACCATACCAACAACGAGAACATGCGCCTGGCAATCTCGCAGATGTTCGACCAGGTGTTTCCTGTGCAGGAGGCCCCAAACATCGAGAAAGGGGACAACAAAGCGCGCGCAGCGCATCGCAGCGCCGAAGACTACTACGGCACAACCAGCAGCACTCTGAAAGTCCACTTGTTGAATGGTACCTACTGCGGGGCTGTCAATGAGGACCTACTCGGGATGCTCCCGCGCCACGTCAGTGCCACAGTGAGGCGCGAACCAGAGAGCACGGTGTATGTTATCCTCAGTTTCCTGCGGGGCTACGGTATCTCCACAGAGCGCCATGCCCCGCGCCTCACGATGCAGAAGGTCATCAAGAGCCTCACCGAGGACCCAGACTTGAACCTCGAAGTGAACACTTTCACGCTGTGCTTCGAGAAGCGCCCCGCAGGTGGCTGGGCAGGGGGCCCGATGAGGCTCGAGGGCGCACTCTGTTTCAGCGCAGACAGAACGAAGACGATGGACTTCGCTTGTCGTTTTTCGAAATCAGCCCTCTACCGCACTGAGACGACTGGTGCCCTCTGCAAGGCACACCCCAGGTCGTCCTATGTGTGCCCCACCAACCCTGCAGTGCAAGGCTACCACTTCCCGGACACCTCGTTGGAGAAAATGGACAAGCAGCGGTACACAGGCCCGGGCATGTACTGGCCGCTCGTGTTGTCTCCTCCTATCCGGGCTGGGGCTAAAGAGTAAGGACCTGGTCCATTTCAGGGAGGAGGTCGCATACGATGGTACTTTGGCGAGCACGCTTCTGGAGATGATGGCAGCGCCGCCAGAGCAGTTCGTAGTGCCTAAATTCTCATGCAGCATGTTGCTATGGATGGGTTCCGCATCATCAATTCGCAACAATTTGGTGTACTTGGACAAGACCCTTACAAATTTCGTCAAATCGCTCATCGAGAAAGGATTCCGGGTTAATGGCTATGATCCGCTCCCACCTCTGGACATGCATGCGACTTCCCCTGGCCCTTTGGATCTCTCGCTCTTCAAAGTCACCATGCCCATCACTAGCACTATGACCATGCAGATCCGCGAAGATGAATGGCTCGCTGTTACAGGCCACCCGGAGGTGATCGCCACGTGGCATATGGGGCTAATATGGGACCCCCCTTGTATCATGTATGTTGCTTCTTTGTGTTATTTAAGTATGTTGTGAAGATGGGACCCCCAGTGTTTGGGGCTGTTCTTACTGATCACTCCATGGGCCCCTTACTGATGTTTTCAGCGCGTACCCATATAGTTGGAATAGGTAACATGCGCAATCAGGGGGCTGGCAGGGTTAACCAGGACACCCTTCGCCTTCAGTTTTGTCAATATTGTTTTGATTTGGCGGGCCCTTCACAGGTGAAATCCCAGGCCGACAAGTGGTTGGATCACTTCAACGCCCGCCACAACCCGAGAGGCAACTTTTGGGTGGACAGCAAGAAGCGCCCAGCTGATTTCGCCGCCGAAGGCGACGAAGCGGTCACCCTGCCGAAGCTGTCTCCAGAGGACCCAGAGACCATAGAGGAGCTCGAGAAGGGAGCAGCAGGCCAGGGCTTGAAGAAGGGGCTAAGCACCCTCCAGACTGGCTTGCTTGTGGCGAAGACGACGGAGGGCGCCGTCTACCTCTACGCAGAAGATGCAGACATGGTCGCCCGGAAGGACACCCCTTTGTATGGTTGGGGGCCGGGGAAATGGCTTGTGGATAAAGAGCTGAAAGCAGCGGAAGACAAGACTGCTTCCGCCCCAACCCTCGTCCCGTTCATGTGCAACGATACTCAATAGGAGATCCGCTTCTATGGAAAGCCGCCATTCACAGACGCTGCGTTTTCGAGCTCCCCGCAGCCATTGCGTCAGTTTTTGCAGTACTTGGAAAAGACGCACAATGTGACAGAGCATACGTTGGTGAACCACACGGTGGAGAGGACCGACGGCGGGGCTAATAGCAACCCAGACTACATTGTCAAGCAGGTTTTGCCATGTAAGTTTCTACCATCTAGCAAGGACGACAAGAACTGGTGCGTTGCCGTCACGTATGCTAAGATCGCCGCGTCCGAGCGGGTGCGTGTGATGGTTGACATCGAGTGCCAGGTCGACAAAAAATACCAGAGGGCCCTTTCGTTATTGGCCCTGCGAGGTCCTTCACATGAACCCCATTCCTTAATAATGTCGTGTCCTCTCTCTATAATCATCTTCAGCTCTTCCCATAGAATTGTTAATGATGGGGCGGAGCTCGTGTGACTGGCCTGGTCAATTAATTAGCGACACCTTGCAGGTGGGCGGGCAGGCAGCAGCAGGGACAGGCAGCAGGGGGGGGGGAGGCAGCAGGGGGGATGGATGGGAGAGGGTGGGGATGAACATCGAGGTACCACCAGCAGCAGAACACGATGTGCCCCGGGGACATCCACCTCTTCCTGAAGCAGGACACCCGGATCTACAAGAACAAGCTCACGCGCATCGTGCGAGGTCTGCAGTGAGGGGGGGGGGGGGCGACTAGATCGCTTTATGTTTCTCCAAGGAACGAAAGCAGACAGAGCACTAGCTGCCCTGGCAGGGCAGTCTAGCCCAAGGGGGGCCCCGCCGGCTGAGCCCCTGTTGGGGCTCCTGGAGGAGGGCCCCTTGTTGTGGCGTCTGGAATGACGCTACAACAAGGGGCGCCTCTCACATGGAATAGCTCCTGCGATGAGTGGGGGGACAGCGATGTACCCCAGAACTCAATATATACAATTGGCAGCAGATACGCACACCACAGGGAGAAACAAATCGCAGGCATTTCAGGCGCGCATGGGCCTGGAACATGTATGCAGCAGCTGGAGTCTTGCTGCGCGCCCCTGGGAACGCTTCCCAAATTTTAGTATTCATGGCCCAGCAGTTTTTGTTTATCGCTTGCTGGCATGGCAGCAGGCACAGAGATGGGGCTAATAACCAAGGGGCTAAAAAAAAGACTTGTCGCTTCTTTGTTTTTTGGTATCGGTCTCTCTCAGCAGACAGGAGCAGGCAGGGCTGGCTGGCGCGCAGGAGGAGTCAGGGCGGGGCTGGCTGGCGCGCAGGAGGAGTCAGGGCGGCAGCAACAAGCAGTTCCTTCAGGCTCGAGTGGTTAGTGCTGCGCAGCGCGCCCTGTGCAGCGCAACTACCCTTGTGCCTGAGCAATGTCACAGTCGTCATCCTCGGACGACGACTACAATGTCAAGGTATACCCGCGGTCTGCAGGCGCGGCGGCGCCAACAGCATCAGCCCCGCCATCGTCGCCCCCAGCCGTGCAGCCGCGGCCAGGAGAACAGTTGATGGAGGGGGCGGCAGGGGCGGGAGGATCAACAGCAGCAGCAGCGCCAATGGACTGGCAGTGCCGCGGGCAGCAGCAGCAGATGGCGGCAGCGCCGCGGATGAGGAGGCCTGGCGGCAGCGCCGCCGCAGCAGCGGCCGCAGGGGCGGCGGCGCGCAATAGGCCCGCAGCTGCAGCGACTGCAGAGGAGGATGAGGGCGAGAAGGATGAGGAGGAGGAGGAGGGGCCTGTGCGCAAGAGGCCCAACGGCAACACACGCGCGAAGGATGAGGAGGAGGAGGGGGGGCCTCCTGCGCGCAAGAGGCCCAGCGGCAACACAGGCACATTGGCTGGGCGCAGGAGGCCTGCCGCCGCCAGCGCAGCAGCAATGGGCGACAAGGGCGAGGAGGAGGACGAGGAAGAGGAGGACGCGGAGGAGGAGAAGGAGGAGGAGGAGGAGGAGGAGGAGGAGGAGGCTGCTGAGTGTGGGAGCATTAAAAAAAAAACCTGCTGCTGCCGCCAAGGCGTCGCCAATTGCCGGCGGCCTGCAGTGGCACAACAGGGGGAACAGCGGCGACGGCGGAGGAGGCGCAGGAATGGCAGGCTCTGTTAGGGCTGCGAAGAGCAGCGACGACCCTTCAGGCAGCGACCGTGGGATCGAGGGCATGCGAAAGTTCTTCGCCGACCACTTGTCGGCGGGCTTGACCTTGAAGGAGACGCACGCGCAGTGGCGCGAGAAGGGCGGGGCTAACCTGGCAGCCGGAGGACGCGCTCCATTTCAGTTGGCAGGCAATTTCATCGACTGGATGCGCGATGGGCACCAGTATTACTGCAAGTATGGCCGCCTCGAGGAAAACCTCTCCACGGCGACAGCACTGGAGAAATGGAAGGCGATGTCTGAACGGGCCAAGGAGAAATGGCACCGGAAGTCGCACAACCACAACGCAGTGATCCTGGCCATGAAGTTGAGCGACGCTGGCAGGGCGAGCCATGGTAAGGCCGCGGATTTAACCATTGCCCTCATGGGAAACATCAAGAAGTCCAACCGCGAGGAGTGGCTCGCCGACATAATGAAGCAGTCAGCCCCCCCCCCGCCGGCGCCTGGCTCATGGAACGAGGGGGGGGCCGCCGCTGGCGTCGCGGATACCCATGGGGCTACAGCAGCAGCAGGGGCAGCAGCGGCAGGCCAGCCACGCGCTTCAGAGGAGGGCGGCGGCGGCACTGCAGTAGCTGATGCGGAGGAGGGCACAGCAGCGGCAGCAACGCAGGCAGGCCAGCCGCGCGCTTCTGCGGAGGCTGCTGCGGAAGCAGCGCGTGGGAGCTGAGGGTGAGCGGGGCTGTTTTTGCAAGTAGACTGCTTCAGGAGGGGCTAACAACTTGGAGGGGCTGCCATGTACATATAGGCCCTACCTGGCGCTAGGGAGCTAAGTTAAGGAGAGTAGTGGCATGCAGTTTGGCGCTGCCGCATGGGCGTCGCGCTGCGCAATGGGAAAGATTTTTCGGATGTTCAGAATAGCTCGCTAGAAGGGCGTTGCGATCCAGCAACGCAGGGACGACGCCACTGGCGACGACGACGACGAAAAACGACGACGCCACAGGCCACCACCCTGGCCTTCAGGCCATCACCCCGCCACCGTGCCTGGGGTCGTAGGTTAGAGGCCTCTTGGATGTTCGTTGGGATAATGAATGGTGGGAAGCCTTTTGGGGTCCTCTTGGAGGCATTTTGAAGCCTCTTGGGGTCCGTTTGGAAGCTTACTGGGGCTTACTTTTGGGCTTCTTGGGGGCCTTCTTTTCGATGCCTCTCGGGGCCTCCTGGGATTTTCTTGGGGCGGAAGTTTCGAATTATCGGTTCGTGTTGTTCCCCCCTTTGGCCCCTCTTGGGGCCCTCTTGGGGCTCTCTTGCGCTGTCATGGTCGCCTCTTGGGCTGTTCTGGAACCCTCTTGGGCCATCGTCTTGGGGGGGGGGTCCTCTTGGGGGCCTCCTTGTTGGCCATCTTGGGCGGCCCTTGGGGCCTCGTGGTCAGTCTTGGAGCGTCGGGAGCTCTGACAGGCGAGGAGGACCCACACACAACGAAAAAATATAATCACATCTTGGAGCCCTCTTGGGAGGCCTCCTGGAACGCTCTCTGGGCCTCTTGGAGGATTCATGGGCCATCGTCTCGGGGCCATCCTGGGCGTCGTGGAACGCTCCAGGAGGGCGCGCGGGAGCGCGCGAGAGCGCCCAGAAAATTTGAGATGTCGGGGCCCCGACTGCCGAGGAATGAGAGGGGGAGGAAGAGGGGGAGGACGAAGAGCGAGGGAGGAGAATCCCCCCCCCTCCGGCGGGCTGGCCCTGCTGACAGGCGAGCCCTAACAGGCGCCATGCGTCTCCTGGCGCGGAGGGCCTGGGAGGGGGTGGGGGAGGGGCCGGGGAAAAAAGGGAGGGCGAAAGGGGGTTAGGGCAAGAAGGGAAACGGGACATGAAAAGAGGCGGCAGAAAAAAAAGGAAGGAGAATGGGGGAGGGACAAGGGGAAGGAAGGGAGAGGGGAAAGGGGATGGGAAAAGAGGGGATGGGGAATTGTATGTCGCGTCGATTTTTCATTCAATTTCGCAGTATAGATTCATAGTGTAGTCAAAATCATAGTATACAGTATACAGTCATGTGTTCAATATGCAGTACACTACACAGTATACACTACACAATATACAGTATACAGTCATAAATTCAGTATACAGTATACAATATACAGTATACAATATACAAATCATAGCACCCCCTCCCTGCGTACCCTCCTCTTCCTCCTGCTTTGCCTGCCTTGCTTGCTGGCCCCCCCCTCTGCTTGCACTGTTTGTTTCGCGCCTTCCCAGGCCCGAGCACCAGACATTGGCCCCTTGGGGACGGCGTCGAGGTCGCCAGCACCGGCGGCGCCGCCACGCGGCGCAGCGCTGCAGGCATGGCAGGGCTGGGGTCGTCAACAAAATGCCGCCATCACCTCCGTGGCGAAAGAACCCCCCATTCGCTTCTGGAACCGGCCCGTTTCTGATGCGATCGGCGGTGGAGTCGAGGGCGGCTGGTGGAGTTTTTCTCTGGGCGGGCTGCAACGTAAAATCATGTAGTATCTGGATTGCGAATCCGAGTCCTCCTCTCTCCTCCTCCTCCTCCCCCTCCTCCTCCTCCTCCTTCTCCTCCTCCTCCTCCTCCTTCTCCTTCTCCTTCTCCTTCTCCTCCTCCTCCTCCTCCTCCCTCCTCCTCTCCTTCCAGCTGCTCCTCCTCGCTCGCAATAGGCCGCTGCGCCTTGTTTAAATCGTTCTCAGTCGTCTCTGACTCGCCGCTCGCATCAGAGACGCGCCTACTACGCGCAACAAACGCCTCGCCAATCACAGACTCGCTACTACTCAGACTTATTCAAACTCTGGGGCTTATTACGCGCAGTCGTACCTACTGATGTGCATGATACCCAGGCGACTCACTCATATCATCCAGACTCGCTCACACTCAGACAGACAACCACGCTCACACTGACAGCGGTCATCAGACGCACTCAGTGCATCCTGAACCACTGGCGCTCAGTCGGACTCACTCGCACTCATGCTCGGGTTTCATGTAGCGCTCCGTCGAGGGTTGCCAGGGGGTCTTCGTCGTGGGGCGCTCTTCTACCACACGCGCCCTGATCGCGGGGATTGTCAGCTCGGACGGCCCCCCCGCTCCCTGGATTCAGCACAGCCCCACGTGGGGGGGCGGGCGACGACCGACCACCCTCAGGGGGGGGGAAAGCATTCCGTACCATCCGCCGCTGTGCAGGCTGGGGCGACGCCGCCGCTGCCGCCTGGTGGCGCTAATGAACCTGGCGGCGCGCCTGCCGAGGGGGCAGCGCCCGCCCCCAGCGCCGCCGGCAGCAGCGCTGACAGGCCCGCGGCGTCTCCGCAGCCCGCCGAGACGGCGGCTGGCTGGGAGGTCGTCAACTCACTCACTCACCGCCACTCCCTTTGCTGACGAGGAGGGGGAGGTGGAGCTGGAAGAGAAGGAGGAGGGGGAGGGGGAGGAGGACGAGCAGGAGAAGGGCGACGACGACGACGAGCAAGACGACGACGACGACGACGACGACGACGAGGAAGGGCGATGAGCGATGGGGCTAAATGAATTACGACCCGCAGGCGGCGAGGGCGACTGCTGCGCGCGATGGCAGGACGCGGAGTCCACCTGCTGCTGGGGCTAAGAAGGTTGGCAGGGGGAGCAGCAGCAAGAAGGGTGATGGGGATATGATAATTGGGAATACAACGAAGAGGAGGGTGTGAGGGTGAAGGGGGAAAGGGGGGGTGAGCCCGCCCCCTCCCCCTCCCCCTCCCCCTTCTCTCCCCCTCTCTCTCTCTCTCCGTCTCTCTCTCTCGCTCGTCTCTCATCTCCCTCTCTCTCTCTCTGTCTCTCTCTCTCTCTCTCTCTCTCTCTCTCTCTTTACTCTCTCTCCTCTCTCCATCTCTCTCTCTCTCATCTCTCATCTCTCCTCTCTCTCTCTCTCTCTCTCTCTCTCTTTCTCTCTTTATCTCTCTCTCTCTCCTCTCTTCCTCTCTCTGTCTCTCCCTCTCTCTCTCGCTTCTCTCCTGTCTCTCTCTCTCGTTCTCTCTCTTCTCTCCTCTCTCTCTCTCCCCTCCTCCTCTCTCTTCTCTCTCTTCATATCTCCTCTCTCTGTTTTCCTTCTCCTCTCTCTCTCCGTCATCTCTCATCTCTCTCTCTCTCTCTCGTCATCCTCTCTCTCTCTCGCTCTCTCTCTCTCTCTCTCTCTCTCTCAGTCTCGGCTCGAGAGTGCCCTGCACTCAGACCGCAGCCGCGACGCGAAGCGCCCCGCCTCGGAGTCAGACTCCCAGGCCTCGCGAGACCGGAGGGGTCCCAGCAGGACCCTACTGATTCGCGTCACCTCTTCCCCCCCACCAGAGCGCCCGCCGCAATGGCCCCCGCCAAGCCGGAGCGCCGTCGCTCTTCCAAGCAGCCGCCGAGCTCACGTCCTGCAGCTGAAGGGTCTCTCCTCCAACGCAAACAGGACTGCATTGCAGCTTTCAAGCAAGCGGGGTCTGACCGCCCCACGGCAGCATACAACGGGCTCGCCGAGCTGAGCGCGGACGAGCTGCAGGCCACGTACGACATGCACAAGACCAACACAAAGAAGCTCGGCAGTGCCTTGATCCGCATGTGTGCCGCCAACCAGATCAGCTACACGCTGGATCACCACCCGCGCAGCAAGCCTAAGCGCATTGGTGGTGACACATCACACCCACCAGCTGCGTCCGCACGTCTTCAGGCTGCGGACGCCCAATTCATTGCCTTGGACCCGGCCTTCTGGAAGGTCCCAGTCCTGGCCGAACCCACATCACTTGACGACGGCAAGACGTACAAGCCCAGTATCAGCCTCCACGACTACGAGAGCGGAGAACGGCTGCTGCAACACCACCTCGTGCAGGGTAAGCGTACCACGGGTCAGCTTGCGATTGCTGTCCTGGGCCCAAAAAACGATAACTACGTCGGTACCGAGCTCGCCGTCCCCGTGCTGAAGCGTCACCCCAAGGCGCCCAAAGTGGTCCACACGCCCGTCCCCGTGACCGTGTACCAGCTGGGCACCAAGGAAGTCGCCTGCACGGAAAAAGTAGCCGTCGCCACCATCGATCCTGCCGACCACGTATGCTGGATTCGGGTGACCATACATGAAACCGAAGCCATCGCCGCAGCCCCCTCCATGCATCAGGCTTTCGAGGATCAGTTCTCGGGAGGTGCCCCCGTGAACGGTGGTCCACGCGCCAAGGGTCCTTTCCGAGGGGACTCCGCTCCACAGGACAAGGCGCGCCAAAACCAAAAGCACAGGGAGTCCAAGAAAGACGCTCGCCGCCAGGAGCTCGATAGTCATCTCCAGGACACCTTCAAGGCCCTCTTCCACGGCAACTTTAAAGCCGTCACCATCCTCGAACCCTGCAAAAGCCTAGGCAGGTATGGATCGGGCGTCGGAAAGAGGTCCCTGGCTGCCACCTTCGGCGTCAGTCTTCAAGCGGTTGACAAGGTCTTGGCGGGTTCATGGCAACTCGGCGCCACCTACGACCTCAGCAACGTAGGTGCTGACGAGCCCACTGCAGACAAGTACCAGACCGTGTGGTTCCCTGAGGACCAGCCCATCACGATGGCAGATGCGTTCCAGAAGTCGGTGGACTTCAAGGCCCTAGGAGTCGTCAGGCACGGCAAGTCAGGCTTAATGGGGATCCGTGTTGCACGAGGGTCAGACGCCGCCAAGGCTGCTGCCGTCAGCATCCGTGGCTGTGAAGCCACCCTCGCCAAGACGCGATACCGCATCACTGGCATTGCGGCGCGCCACGCCACGCTGACCCAGCTTGCTAAGACTCTCACGGGCCCGTCCGTCAAATGGGACTGTGAGGTCTACCACGCCGCCTGGGACCCAGCCACTTCGGCTCAGTTTGCCTTAGTGCGCGCCCATCGTCCCCCACCCACATATACGGTACAGGTCGCAGGTTGCCCCATCCCGTGGAGCATCACCGAGGCCCCGTTGGCTGAGGTGGTGCCGAAGAGGGACAACGTTACCATTGTCACCCCTACCACTATCACAGAGCCTGTGACGCCGCCAGCCCGTGGTGGCGGCTTCAGCCCCGCCACGGGCACACTCCTAACCAAAGCGGCCCAGAGCCCTTCCTCCACGACCTCATGACTGCCACGCCCAAAGGCAAGGGCGTCGCACCGCTCCTGATCCCCAAGGAGGAGCCTCTAGCCAAGCGCCACCGATCCTCCAGTGGGAAACGCGACGCCACGCCGCACGCAAGACCACACGGCGCCCCAGGCCGCAGCTCCTCTGCACCCCCGCACGGCACGGATGGAGCTGCCGAGCAGACGGCCGTCCAAGCATCAGGTGGTCATGACCCGCAACTTGGCACGGTGGCGGCTGAAGGCGGGGGCCACACGGAAGGGGACGCTGCCACAGCCGCCGAGGTACCAGGCGACGCTGACGACGTCGAGATCCTCTCATCAGGGGATGAATTCAGCGTGGCATCTCGCGAACTGAACACCCTCGGCGAACGCTTCGCAACGGCCCCTAAACTGTCAGATGCCGCCACGACCCGCATCCAACACATGGAACAACAGCACGAGCTGCTTGCCAACACGGTGGATAACATGCAGGTTCAGCTTGCGGGCGTTCTCTCATCCCAGGCCACACTCACGGAGCACGTTTCAGGTTTGGAACGAGGGCTTGCCACCGTCGTCACTCAGCAACAGACGGCAACTACCGAAGCTGCTGCACTGCGTGGCGACATCCAGGCCCTCCTCGGGCACCTCGCGGGGGGCACCATCCACCTGCCACAGGTGGCCACCCTCGAAACAAAAAAGGAGGAAGCTGCATCAGTTGCCGATCCCGTGGCTGTCTGCGGGTGGATTGACCAGCCAGGCCAGGTCACCCCAGGGACGGGGCCCCCAGGGGCTGACAAAGGCAAAGACAAGGGTCGGGCCACTCAGGAACCCTATTGAAGGTGCCTCAGAGAGCCTGCCTCAGCCCTCCGAGGAAGCGCCTTCAGAGGCATCTCTTCTCTCTTCGCGTCGTACCTCTTTCTTGTCATATCATGTCAGTTTTGGCAGCAGCACGAGCAAGCTATCTGGTGTAGGGACACCTGTCATCTTGCTGTGGGTGCGTTTGTTGCTATGTACATGAGCATGCAGGGGTATCTGAGGATGCGTGCTGACATGCAGCTTTTGGCTCATTGCTCGCGCCGCCCGCCAGGCCTCGCCATCATGTGGCGCCTTGCCTGCAGCCTGGCCCTCCCCTCGCTCGCTGGAGCACACCCGTCTTCAGGCGGTGCGCCCCAGCATGGAGGTGAGGTTCTCCTGCGACACGCTGAACGTGGGACCCTTTTCTACCTCTACGATGACAGCATCTACAAGTACGATCACTGCACCATTTTGGACCCGATCGTGAACGGCACCGTTGCCGCGGGTCCGTGCGGCATAGGCCAGGCACACAGTGGCGGCTTCAGCCCCGCTGTGGTGCCCCGCTATTGCCCTACGGGTCTCACCACTCCCCTGTGCGATAGGGGCGAACCCGAGGAGGACCCTGCTTTCTGGCACCTGATGATGATCCGCGCCCGGCTCATACCGTGTGCTGCGGCGTGGGCACCAGGAGAGGACAACCAGGACATGTTCTGGGCATGGCTCGAGGACTGCGTCCCGTACATCCTGGCGACGCTTCATCTGCCACAGTACGATCACCTCTTTCAGGAGGATTCTGAGGACACAACCGACGCCCTGCGTCAGCGCACCGCGGTCGACATGTGCGAGGACATCTGGCTCAGAGCGGGCCCCGACAGGCAGCGCACCAACCGCAACCTCACTCGTATCCAGAGCAGCCGCGAGTACGCCACCCGCTACTTTGGCCTCCTTCTGGAATACCAGGGCGCTCGTGCCACGCTCGTCGGTCCTGAGGCTTTCACGGCGCCTTTGCCGCCATACCTCTCACGGGCCCATGCTCTGCTGCCAAGAGGCCTCCCTCCACCCGACCAAGACGCCATGGCGTACCTCGCCGACGTGATCCTGCACCAACCGCCAGACATGCTGCCGCTCGTCGAGGCGGAGCTCGCCGCGGCGCCGATGGACGGCACCGATCAGGCCGCAGATGATCCCGTATCATTGCTGCTACAGCACATCGCGGCCAGCGATATCGGCAACATATCCATGGACTCGTTCCACGCGTCGGACGATAGCCAGGACGGCATCGATGCCCAGGATCGAGACGGCACGACACCACCAGGCGACTCGGCCCAGCGTGACCGCGACAGTGAACCCTACTTTGGGCACACCTCGTTGCACAGCAGTCCGCCCCACAACTCAGCTCAGGCCGACCCCAGCGCACCGCTCAACGACGCTGAAGGCGTCACTGCCGCTGACGCGACAAGCCATTCCACTGCATCGCCAGCTCA